GCCCCCCCCCCGTCCATCAATTTCTAAATACACCACGAGTTACTGATCACCGCAGGAACATTCCGCATTTGGAGTTCACAGGGTTGGAGACCCTGCGTGTGCCATGCGTTCGTTTGTATAGCCTGCATGCCTGCGTGCTTATGTCTGTGCGCATGCGTGCGTGTTGACCTCTTATTTAGCGGGTCCGAGTCGCCTCACGCATCTGCTCAGAAGGATTTTCACACCTTTTTGATCGTCGACCATTGCGATGACAGCGATGCGTGACGTCACCTTGTTCAGCCGGTCCAAGTGTATGACAGCGATGCATGACGTCACCTTGTTCAGCAGGTCCAAGTGTATGACAGCGATGCGTGACGTCACCTTGTTCAGCAGGTCCAAGTGTATTACAGCGATGTGTGACGTCACCTTGTTCAGCAGGTCCAAGTGTATGACAGCGATGCGTGACGTCACCTTGTTCAGCAGGTCCAAGTGTATGACAGCGATGCGTGACGTCACCTTGCTCAGCAGGTCCAAGTGTATGCGTGCGCGCATGCGTGGACCGCTTGTTCTGCTTGTTCAGCTCGTCCTCGCACATCTCAGAGGGATTTTCACATCTTTACAATCGTCGACCATCGCCACGCGTGATGTCACCTCGTTCGTTTTCTCCGTTTGCAGTTCGAGGACATGTACAAGAAGGCACACTCTGCGATCCGCTCCGATCCCGTACACAAGCCGAAACCCGCGCGAGAGCACACGGGCAAGGTCAAGAGGTAGGGCGCCTCGCTCATCTCGACATCCAATCGATAATTGATCGTTTTTTTATTTTTAAATCGTTAATAGTCTTTTTTAGAAGAGAGCGCGTGGCCGAACGGGCGCAAAAAGGGCGATTAGCGATTTAAAAGAAATGACGCGGGTTACGGACGTTCGTTCAGGATTCTGGTCACATTTCGAGGCTCGGTTTTTTGCGATGGGACGGTAGAATGCGCACGTCACGTGCAAATGGTCGCCGAAAACACGTTTCTGCCCCCCTCTCGAACTGAGGTATTGTGACGATCGCGCGTGGGATCGAGGTTCGTAGCGGGTGTTCGTACTCGATCATATCCATGGAGTCGCCTTCTGCGAAATCGTCCTCGTCTCATCCATTCATCATCAACGCCCACAACCATCATCATCCTCATCAACATCATCATTAACATCATCATCATCAACATCATTAACATCATCATCATCATCCCATCACCACCATCATTAACATCATCATCATCAACATCAACATCATCATCATCAACATCATCATCATCAACATCTTCATCATCATCATCATCATCAACATCATCACCACCATCATTAACCTCATCATCATCGACATTGACGCTACACGCGCGTGCGTCCGGCTAAACGCACGGCGGTTTTCTTTCTCTGCCTGCAGGTGGAACAGGAAGAAGATGAGCAAGGCTCAGCACATGGACCGCGTCAAACAGAAGAAAGCTGCGTTCGTGAAGAAGCTGCAGACAGAGGAGGATGAGTGAAGGGCCTCGCAGTGCGAGATAGGAAGAGAGAGAGAGAGATGTTTATTAATTAAATCGTGTTGAAGAGATACACGCACACGAGTTCTGCTCTTGTTTGTCGATCGCATTGCTGTTGATTCGAAACGACGACACAAATAACACTCGGGAACACCGATTGGGAAAAAAAATAGTTTTTTATTTTTGTTAATTCCAAATGTCGATCAGTCGTCGCTGTCGCATGCTGTATCAAAAATACGCATTTTCTGGAGAACATTTTTCACAAGCAGGCTAAAACGTTATTGGTAGTCACTAGTCACGATGCAATGACTGACTAATAGACAATGACTAAAAGATCTATGTAAAATGCAAAAATACGTGCTTACCTGACAACAGGTATTATTAATAACGTGATTCGAGAGATGATTTGCCAAAAGACTTGAAACAAAGAACTGTCGTTTGAGGTTGTGCAACCCATGACAATATTCACAATAACATCGTTCTACATACGTCGACACGCACGCGATCACGGGGACTCTTAGTCTTACTTGCGGAGGCATATTTTACGGCAAGTTGCGCGTGACCGACATATCGAGACTTCGGTGGGAACCGACGCGCCTTCACACCCATTTAAATCGGCATGCGCCATCTTAGATTTTCGTGGAATTCGACAAAATCCACGATCAATTCGCGTTCGAACTCGACTCCGAGCAGTGGACGTTGCACCAGGCATCTGCGCCGACGCGAAAGCAGGTCTAAACAGCTAAACAACTCTTAACTAACGGGTCGATTGCATTTCACACTTGACAATGACCTTTGACCTTGTCTATGACCTCAGCAGTGAGCATCGTATACTCGTGTTTTTATTAAAAAATGTAGAAGCTATATATCACACCCTGCAAATCACACTAGCTAAGAGACCATGCACACTTCAAATGTGTGACCCAGATTATTATGCCCTCACATTTTCACGTATTAACATGACATACGTGCGTGTGGTGCAGTTGTATTAAAAGGTTGCAATTCCCCTTCTAACAGCATTATATTCAGTTAAATGGCAGTTTATTGGTGCTACGTACCAGTTTTAAATGTTTAAAATCTATAAACAAATATAAAATTACGTACATTTGTAATAGTTTAAATTGACTACGTCACGAATTTTCTATGGTAAAATTTGTAAAATTTTTGTTGCCATTTTTTTACATTAAAAGTTAGAACTAACAGGACTAAACGTATCGTCAAATTGTCACCACTTAAAATAAAGCCCCCCCCCCAATCTTAAAAATCACAATTTTATTTCGCTTAAAAACAAATCGTACGTAGGATTATAAAAACCTGCCGTCTTGCTCACTCCTTGTAAACCATCTGAATCTGCAACTTTAGTTGCATTGACTTCCATAACAGACATCTGTAACATGTCAATGGCGTTGGCTATATATATATATATATATTCCCCCAATCTATATCGCAAAGATGGAGAAAGCTCTTTTTTAATTGTGGAACATGTTGAAAGCTACGTTAGAGTTCCCTTACATAGTCTCTCTGCAGTTCTCTTACGAACATTCTCATACCTTCTACACTATGCCCCGTTTCTTTGCGCGCATTTCGTACCTGGCGTGACACTGCCCTATTTCGTTGCGTGTGTTTCGTACCTGGCGTGGCAGTTTGCGAACGTTCTTAGATTCTGATGGCGCCTTTGGTTATACCATCGAATTCTTTCTCGTTTAGCGGTTTGTATAGTCCCGATTTTCCCTCCAGGTAAAAGAGCTTGTCCTCGGTCTTCTTCGGATCAAAACCAACCTTGACTAGGTCCAATTTCATGAACTTATACGTTCCTGAAAGATGAAAATCCCACGTCGGTATTGTAATATAAATATGTATGTGGTATAATGTGACGTGAACCATCTCACGGAGAGAGAGAGAGAGAGAGAGAGAGAGAGAGAGAGAGAGGCGCACACAAATAGAGGTCGAGAGCCAAAGAGAAGAAGAGAGACAGAGGAAGAAAAAATGAAGAGGAGAAAACGCCACAAAGAGATATGAAGAGAAGGAGAATTAGAGATAGAGAGAGGGAGAAAGAAAGAAATAGAGGGAGAGAGAGAAAGAAATAAAGAAGGAGAGAGAAAGAAATAAAGAGGGAGAGGGAAATAAATAAAGAGGGAGATAGCAAAAAATAAAGAGGGTGAGAGAAAGAAATAAAGAGGAAGAGAGAAAGAAATAAAGAGGGAGAGAGACACAAAAAGAAGTATAGCGAAACAAAGATAGGGAGAGTAAGAAAATGTCTGTACGCGCCGAGCAATCGACTGCCGTGCTGTCCTGGCGGCATCATGAGAGAGGCTGCCAGCCAACGAACGGGCTGCGTACGCTCCTACACGACGTCAACAAACGGCGACAAGGAGCCTTGGACGCAGAGGAGCGAGCGAGGGACCACGTACGCACCCGACACAATGATTGTCCGGGGTTGTGCGCGTTGTGCTTGCCACACTAGATTAGTCCCTCCTCCCATCCACGCTGTGTCGTCTGTCTCGCTTCTGTGGCGTCCTGCGTCTGCTTCGAGTGCTCGCGCTGCTGTGACTGCCATCGGCTGCTGCTGTAGTAATTGATCGGCCTGACATCGCGGTCGTCAGTGGCATGCGTAGAAGCGCACGGTCCGCGCGTAAACCACGCATGGAAGAACAGAACAGACAGCGCGACAGACAGACGAGACCCAGCGTGGTGTGGGTGTGTGTGACTGGTGAGGCGTACGCACCCGTCCCTGCTCAGCCCCTCTCATAGCGCAGGAAAAACGCGGTGCGCGTGACACCCATGACAGCAGACCAGACACATCAGACAGCACAGTCGTGTGTGTGTGTGAGTGTGGAGGTTGTTTCTACACGCATCATGAGAGAGGGCGAGCAGACGGTGCGGTACGTCTGTGTGTGTCCTCTCCTGCGCCTTCCCACGAATCTGCTGTCTGCGCAGGTCTCTCTTTCTCTCCTCATTCTCTTGCTGTCTTGTCCACCTCTCTCCTCATGCTTAATTCGCGCTCTCTCCTCTTGCTGTTTGTGCAAGTCTCAAACACGCGGTCTCTCGTCATGTTCTTGCTGTCTGTCAGGCGTTCGCATCTCACATCCTGTTTTTTCTCTATGCTGTCTGTCCAGTGAAGTCCATCTGACACTCTGGTCTCTTACTGTCTGTCAGTCTCCGGACGCCAGTCCGCTCTGTGTGGTTCTTTGTGTGCTGTGGTGGTACTGGCTGCGATACGCTACTCTCCCGTCTCCGTCCTCTTTCCTAGCTGCTCCTGTCATTCATTGAACCGGAGTCAACGTCGTCCGTACATTCTCAATCTCGTCTGGTCTCTCGTCTCGCTCCCTTGCGTATTTCTCGCTTCGCGTGAATAGCATGACAGGATCCACGACAGCCACATCCTAATGCTGGTCTAAGCAGTACCCGACAGCGTGTGGCCTGTTGTGTCGTGCCTCGGTGGCTTGCGCTACGCGTCTGACCACTCTTGCTGTACCCTTGTTTCGTTCGCTTCAGCCTACTCCCACTGATCGCGGTCAGGAATCAGCGGCCTTGGTCTAACAGTCTCTCGTCCTCGCGGTATAGGTGCTCACTGCGAATACGTTGCATGTACAAAATTCCAGACACTCCACATTCGTCTTGGCTGTACCTAGAAACAGCATCGTCCTCGTCTCCTTCTGTGTGTTGCTATGAGTGTGCATCGCGTGCTCTTGACTTACGTTTTTTCCACCCTCTCCTCCGTTCCTGGCTCCAGTCTACACGTCTCTTCCTCTCCACTGCAGTCTGGCGTGCGGGATCTCTCTCGTACACATGCTCTCGCTCCCCGCCCTCGCGTCGACATGTATTATTACTCCGTCTTGTTCGTACTATGCAAGGTCCCTATCACTGCACCAGACTCAGGTCACCAGTCTCTCAGCCCTTAGGCGCTTGTGTGAGTTGTGTTCTGCGTGTGAGCGTACCCCAGGCTCCTTCCGTCGGGCCTGTTCACAAACACGTCCCCTCTCCTCTCATGTCAGCCGCAGTCTGCTCTCTCTGCTGTCTAACAGTCTCTCTGGAGACAGCCCGTGCGGTCAGGTCCATCTTCGCCGACAACGACAGACAGCCGCACACATGCACATCAGACATGCGTCGCTCGTGTGTGTTGAAGCCTGCTAGTTTCTTACCGCACTCCCGTCTCTCTCGCCTCATTCCTTCTCTCTATGTTGCGTTCAGTAGCGAGTGGCGTTGAGCTGGACCTGAACCAAGGTAACTCCAGTCATCATCCCACAGGTCTCAATCTCACCCAATCTCACGACTCTAGCTGGCTGGTAATTGGTTTGTGTTGTGCTTGTACTCCGTAACACCTCTGCTGTCATACATGCTCTCGCTGCTTCTCTCTCCTCTCCTCTCGCTTCGCTTCGCATTTTTTCGGATCGCAGACGCCCTTACGCTTGTGCTCAACAGCCGCGTTACTCTCGCCTCGTGCGCAAATCACGGCCTCTCTTTCTCTCTTAGCTCGTCTAACAGCCTGATGCCCTCACTCACGTTGGCTTCTCCGGCCGGTTGGTCGTCGTCTACACGGCGTGGTCTCATGCGGCCGTATTTTCCGTTTACCCTGCCCGGAATTATCCTCATTTAAATTTCTTTATTGGCGACGTATTCTACAACCATTACTGAAAAGGGCTCTTCCTCAATGTTGGAAAAAATCCTGAGCGATATGTCAAATAGTTGTTGGAATTTCTTCAGTAAAATAATTAAATCCACTTCACTGAAGTGATACGTTACATAAACCCCGCACTACGACAAAAATAAGATAACATGAGTATGTAAATGAGTCGATGAGCGGTCGTGCTGTTAACTGAACACAAGTTGGTCTGCGGTGTGGCGTCCGTGGCCCCTGCCACGACTCAAGGTCTAACACTGCTTCTGCACCCGTGCTGTAGGGGCCCGCATGTGGCGTGCGTACCCAGAGTTTGAATAGTGTCTATGTCTCCTGGGTATGCCGTGAACGTTCCCTGGTTACATTACTGTCGTTCTGAACCATGCCCTCATGTCTGCGATAGACAGTTCGTCGTGCGGCTCAGGTTATCTCGGATAAGCTGCGTCTAGGCCGCTCACTCTTCCCGCTTAGACTCGGTTAGTCGAGTTTTAGTGGTTAGTAGGTCGTATGGTACTGTCCCGGCACCGCGTGCCATATTACTTCATCAGTTACCAAAGGTACGTTCTGCAGTCAATGCCCTGCCAGGGAACATAGGACCCTGGTCCAGCTGCCTTAACATCACGAGATGACATAGTTCTGTCTTCCTACACCTCACCTCTCTCTTCATACGTCTCTCTCTCGTCTCGCATACTCTGCTGTCTTTAATATAAAAGTTTACTTCTCTAATATCGTTCATCTCTAACTCTCATCTTCTCTCCGGTCTGCTTGCTGTCACTTATTTCCTAGCTTCATTGACCAGTCAGACTCTAGATGGAGTTTCTGTCCCTTTCACTTGCTTACACAGCCACATCCGCACGTTTGTCAGTGACTGTCTGTTTCTTAGCATTCTCCCCTACTTGTTTCGCACTATACTTATAACTTTTAGGTAGTTCATTCTCTGCCCGCGTCTTTTTAATTCCATTCTCAAAATCAAAAGCCCCTACGCTACTAACTCAACTAAAATCCTTAACATACATTACAATGTCCTATAATTTCTTTCCTTACTACAGGCACGTACTTTAGGTGTGATTTCCGAAATGATTGGTAATACTATTAATGTCTCGCTGCTTTATATTACCTTTCCCTCTTCAGCTCTTCTTTATAATTTCAGTTAGCCTTCTCAAAGATTCTTAACGCTTTTTCTAATTTAATTTTCCTCTAATTTCTCTCATCCTTCACTATATATAACTTATCTTTCCTCACCTCTCCAGATAATCTTTGATTCTCATACATATCCCATCACAACATACTCCTCTGCATCCATCAAATCTCTTCGAGATGAGCGTTTATCCTCCTCATTTCATTTTTACTTCACTCAATCTGATGCCCTCACCTCAAACTTCTGCCAAAAATAACGAGCTACCCATCCCGACATCCCTCTCCAATCCTAGTGATCGCTGCCCGCACCTACAGACATTCTGCTCATCCTCTACGTCCACATCTCTCTCTCTCTCTCTCTCTCTCTCTCCGTGAGCATGTTCACTGTCACATTGTACCACATACATATTTATATTACAATACCGACGTGGATTTCATCTTTCAGAACGTATAAGTTCATGAAATTGGACCTAGTCAAGGTTGGTTTTGATCCGAAGAAAACCGAGGACAAGCTTTTTTACCTGGAGGGAAAATCGGGACTATACAAACCGCTAAACGAGAAAGAATTCGATGGTATAACCAAAGGCGCCCATCAGAATCTAAGAACGCTCGGCAAACTGCCACGCCAGGTACGAAACACACGCAAAGAAATAGGGCAGTGTCACGCCAGGTACGAAATGGACGCAAAGAAACGGGCATAGTGTAGAAGGATGAGAATGTTCGTAAGAGAACTGCAGAGAGACTACGTAAGGGAACTCTAACGTAGCTTTCAACATGTTCCACAATTAAAAATGAGCTTTCTCCATCTTTGCGATATAGATTGGGGAATATATATATATATATATATATATAGCCAACGCCATTGACATGTTGTAGATGTCTGTTATGGAAGTCAATGCACTAAAGTTGCAATTCAAATGGTTTACAACAAGATGAGCAAGACGGCAGTTTTATAATCCTACGTACGATTTGTTTTTAAGCGAAATAAAATTGTGATTTTGAAGATTGGGGGGGGGAGCTTTATTTTAAGTGGTGACAATTTGACGATACGTTTAAGTCCCGTTAGTTCTTACTTTTAATGTAAAAAAATGGCAACCAAAAATTTTTACAAATTTTACCATAAGAAAATTCGTGACATAGTCAATTTAAAACTATACAATGTACGTAATTTTATATTTGTTTATAGATTTTTAAACATTTAAAACTGGTACGTAGCACCAATAAACTGCCATTTAACCTGAATATAATGCTGTTAGAAGGGGAATTTGCAACCTTTTAATACAAACCGCACCACACGCACGTATATCATGTTAATACGTGAAAATGTGAGGCGCATAATAATCTGGGTCAACACATTTGAAGTGTGCATGGTCTCTGAGCTAGTGTGATTTGCAGGGTGTGATATATACCTTCTACATTTTTAATAAAAACACGAGTATACGATGCTCACTGCTGCAGGTCATAGACAAAGGTCAAAGGTCATTGTCAAGTGTGAAATGCAATCGACACCGTTAGTTAAGAGTTGTTTAGCTGTTGTAGACTGCTTCGCGTCGGCGCAGAATCCGCTGGCGCTTGCAACCCTGTCCCGGGCAGCTAAGCTCGCGAATTGTCGACTGTTCAAGGCGAATGATTGTGTTGCCTCGATTCCACGAAAAATCAAACGATGCGCAACGCCGATTTTAAAGACTGGTGTGAAAGGCGCGTTGCGTTCCAGCCGCAATGTCTCGCATCCGTCGCGTACACGCGCAACTTGCCGGTAACATAATGCTCTGCAGCAAGTAAGACCTAAGAGTGCCCGTCGACTCGCGGGGTGCGTGTCGCCGTCATGTAGACACGATGTCTATTCGTGAATATATGTCATGGGGTTGCCACAACCTTCAAACGACAGTTCTCTGTGTTTCACGAGTCTCTTTGGCAAATCACTTCGAATCCAACGTTACTTCTAAATAATACCTGTGTC